AGGTGATTGCGCTTCAAAGGCTGGAGAAAAGGAGGATGAAGGACGAGCTGGTGGTGCCCGGACGAGGCAAAGGTCACCTTCCTCGCCCACGGCCCGAACAGACCCGTGTGGCCGTTGGAGTAGCGGACAGGAAGGGGCCCGCGCTGCGGCGAAGCCTGGCGGAGCGGCTCGGCGCAGCAGAAGCGGATCCCGACCCTGCGGCGGCCCAGGTGCGCCGGTCTCTTCCCTCTAGCCTTCAGCCGCCGCGGAGGGAGGGGCGAGGGACCACCCACCTCCGGGCGCCGCTCCGCCCAGGCAGTCTCCAGCTCCAAACGCGTCCCAATGCCTGCATCTTCAGCTGACCAAGACCTCTCACACATGGAGCCCTCGCATCCTTCCCTTACTGGGCCTTAGTTCAACGCTCAATACAGGGAAGAGTTATTGAGTACCAACATGTGCCAAGCTCTGTTCTCTGTCCCAAGGCTACCAAGAGCCTATAGAGGACTAGATCACATAGCACTGGGAAGCTGTCACCCTCTGCTGCCCTCCTCTGCTGCAGCACACAGATTTGGCAGTGCCACTGGGGACAGGTATATAGGCCAAAGGAAACTGGCCCTAGATGGCTAGTCCAGGGGACATTCCTGTCACCCTGAGAAGCTGGGCCATAGCTGTTGGGTAGAGGGGCAGGAGGGTAGATTTTCAGTATCTAGTTTCCACCTTGTTGTAGCCCCTCACCCCCTCCTCAGCCCAGTGCTAGACACCCACTCTCTGACCCAGCTCAGACCCTGTCACAGGTGGTCTCCTTCCTACACCTCAGGATGTGTCAGGAAACTAGGCCCTAGCCAAGGAAGCCCACAACTGCTGGCATCACACATCAAAAGCCACCTCCAGGTCCCACTCTCCTGAAGGGAGGTTCAGGGCATCTGAGGTATATGGGAAGGTCTCCCAATGTCGGGATGCCAGCTGCTAATGATCCTTGAGGCGATTTTAGGTCAAAAGTGTATTGTTGGGTTTTCAGTGTAGATGTATAACACAATCAGAGGGAGATTTTACATCAAAATCTATTTTGCTGGTTTCTCCTGAAAAATCTGAGAATCTGTCAAGAAAAGGCCTGTACTCTAACATGTCTAGAAGTGGCTGGAGCTGAGGGGAAATTCTTCCTTAGACAGAGTCGACACTCTAGCCCATTCCCTGAAAAGATCACTTTGAAGGAAGTGAACACTTGCAGAAAAGACCTCCTTACTCGGGAAAAAAGGTCTCTTCTGCAAACATGAAAATGCAGGGTCAGAATAAGCCTAAGCAGAGCCTGCTCGATGACTTTAGGAACAAACCTAAGGTGTGGCTGGCTGGCTGTGATCTCATTTGCTGGCAGTGATGGGAGTGGGATCGGGAAGGAGCTGCCCCAGCGAATTCCTGCCTGGGGTTCTTGCCTTTTGTGAGTGGGATTCCCCTTTGGCCATTGGATGAAGCATATAACCCCTTCTCAGAATGTTTTTAAATGCATAATATGAAACATAGAATTACAGAGGACACCAATATATTGAAAATATAGCTGTGAAAGCATTAGAAAATAAATTTGTGATACAGTAATATTCTTGTTTACTAATGCATTAAATAGAAAGATCTAACATCTGATCTAAAAGTGGTAAAAGTGTAAACAAAATTTCAAGATATCTGCGACAGCCTTAACATGATATGAAAGTACCTGTGACGTTTAATGACAAAGTGACAGGTGCTACTAATTCTACTGTGGTTTGTGGCCTGCATTCATAATTTAAGGAAGTGATAAATTTTAATTAACACTTAGTAAAAATAAAGATGTAATTCACAGACCCCCCCCAAGTTAAGAACCCCTACCCAAATATCACCAAGGAGAGCACACCAACCTTGCTACTTAGCTTAGAAGGTACATCTGAGACCTCAGGGTCCTGACAATTCCACCAGGTAGGAGAGCTGAACCTTTATTTCTTGAAGTAAACAGGTGGTATAAGGATATAGAAGCATGGCATGAAACACAAAAGACATTACCAAAAGATGACAGGTTGGATTACATAAAATTTTAGAACATATAATGGTAAGAACATAATAAATGAGTTTATAAAACAAAGAACAGACCGAAAAAAATTACAACATAATAATAAAATGTCCATGTCCTTAGTATACAAAGAGTGGTTACAAATCATTAAGAAATAGAAAAACAACCCAATGGGAAATTGAACAAAAGATATTAGACAATAGAATAAGAAAATATATATTGCCAATTAAGCATATAAAACACTCGATCTCACCAAAATGAACATAAAAATTAGATATATTTTTTAAACTATCATACTGGTCAAAATTAAATAGATTTTTTTATATTGGTGAGGAATGAGAAAATGGGCAGCTTCAAGTAGCCTTTTTAAAAAACAACTTGGCAGCATATATCAAAATTTAAAGTCCTCAAAAATGTGAGAATTAAGATTTTTGCTACAGCATTACATGTACTATTAAAATTAGAATCAATTTAAATGTCCACCAATTGGGTATTGATTAAACAGATTATGATATATTCCATAATGAAATACTATACAGCCATTATTATATATATAAAGAATTAAGTATTATAGTTGTGCTAATGAAAAAGGTGCCCAAGATATATATAGTTAAAATGAAAAACAACTTACATAATCATATATGTCATATGAGTCCACCTATGGTTTTTTTAAAACTATACATATGAGAAATTTAAAGGTGGTATTCAAAATATTTAACTAGTCTGGCACAGGCACTAACCACTCAGCACTGATGCTTGGCCCTAGCCCTAGAAGCAGGAAACTAGAGAGCCTTCTGTGGCCTGTCTTTGGTTGCTGAATTATGGGGATCCTGGGGAAAGAGCTAGAACAGACAAGGTGGTGGCACAGGAAGGCTATGACCAAGCCTTCTTACCAATAAGCATGAATATGTATGTAAAGAAAAAGTGAAACACACATACCAAACTTGACAGTGGTAGAAGAGGCACTTTTTACTTTTTGCCCCACACAATCTTATTGTTTGAAATTCTAAGAATGAATGTGGGACTTGAAAAAAATAAATAAATATAGGGGAAAACCCCAGCATGGGCCTATTTGCAAAATGTAGCATGGCATAAATACATGGCATAGACTCATTTAAGGCCAGAAGGAACCCAGGGTCATCTAGGATTCCAGGAATCCCACATTTCTTACCACTCACTACTCTTATTACTTCGCCAGGTCCTCCCCAGTACCACCGCTACCATGATTTGAAATATTTTTTTCTACTAAACAAACTTGGTTTATTACATAATACATTATTAATACATTATTAATATTTCATTGATCAAAACATATTTCATTGATCAAAAACATATTGTACTGCCAGGTAAAACTCCCTATGAACATCAAGTTATCACTATTGCCACAGTGAGTTGGTACAATCACAGCCCAGCTGTGAAAGGAACATGACATTCGGGTTGACCTATTTGGTCCTATCACAAGGCAATTCATATATTTTTGAAATATTGAAAGTATTTATAATCAAACCCCTCAAAACCATAGTTGTCAGGAATGTGAGAAGAAGAACCACTTGTCAGGCATTCTCCAGATGTGGAACTGAGAGCCAATGTGTGTGATTCTACTTGTCCCTGAGACAGCTAGCCCTAGGAAGCCTCACCTAGAGACAGCCAGGAGAGCTGAAAACCAGCAGGGGTTCTAGGGACACAACCCAGAAGACAGCCATGGGTGGGGGGTAGCCAGCCACAGAGCCTGACTGTGGTGTCAGATATCTAAGAGTCCAGAGCAAATAGCCAGGAATAAATAAAGCTGGGGCAGGAGACATGACTTGTGAGTATTGTTTAATAAGACTGGCAAAGCAGTGATTCTCAAAGGGGGAAATATTAAATTGAAAGAAGATGGATGGGTGTAGTTTGAAAAGGGATCATAATTTTTTATTTGAAGTAAAATGTAAACTTTATTTTTTCTCATAAAGCAAGCTACCAAAAGGAAAGTTCTAAAATATCTTGCTGATGAGTATTTGCAGAAGAAATATTAATTCTCATACTTCCTGAAAAGAGGAGGTAATTTTTTTATTTTTTTAATTGACAAATTAAAATTGTATGTATTTACGGTATACAGCATGAGGTTTTGAAATGGAAGAGGTAAATTATTATGTGAATCTAAAACAGGCAGCAGTTTTAAATAGTTTGAGTTTGCAATTTGCTTTTATGAGCCAATTGAGGTAGGGTGAATGTATATTGGAAAGGGGTAGGGTAGGGAACAGCAGATACCCTGGGGAGAGGAGGAGGCTATCCCAGGGTCATGAAGGCCAGGGATTAGGATGCAAGTGTAGGGGACCTTGTCTGCCTGATCCAGCTGTATCTTCAGCACCTAAATCAGTGCTTGGCTCAATTGATGTTTATTGACTGAATGCATAAGTGAATGGCAAAATCAGGACTAGAAATCGAGTCTCTTTTTTTCCCCAGACAATGTTTTAATAGGTTCCAGAATTAAACAGTGTTAAACAGAATATGCAGGAAAACAGTTAGCTGCCTATTCCAACACCCGTTTTCTTCTCCTCCTTAAATTTCCCAGCCTCTCTTGCAGCTACGTTCTGGCCACTGAGATGCAATGGGAAGTGTTATGTGGTACTTGCAGGAAGTCTTCATAGGACAAAGGGGGTGCACCATTCCTCCTTTCTTCATCCTGCTGCCTGAAATGCAAACATGGTGACTGGAGGTCAAGCAGCCACATGGACCATGGACTATGTACACTAAGGATGACAAGCAGAAAGATGCAAGACGCCTGGGTCCCTGATGACTGCCGTTATCATATCCACTCTGAATTGCCTGCCTTTAGACTTCTTTTACGTGAGAGAGAAATAAACATCTATGTTTTATAGCCACTGTTTTTTTGGGATTGTTCTATTATAGACAAAGACAGCTAATCCTCGCTGGTATGTGTGTAAGCCCCCAACCCCCTGGAGAGAGTAGAGATTAGGTGAGAGTGTAGCACTCCAGGAAGCAGCCAGTTCCATGCTGTAGCATCAGCAAGCCAGCATTGGCTCTATTTGCTACCTAGACCCAGCTCCTCAGTCACTGACTCCTCTGGGCCTTGAATCAGCACCCTATAAGTCCTGGGACAGTGCTTGCGGTAGAGATTTTCCAGCAGTGTGTTGCTTCCTCTAACCACAGTCTTCCCCTCCTGGTTCATGTAGTTCCACAAATGCAGGGCATAAGAGTCATTGAAGCTCGGGTCTGTATCCCAGACTTCGTAGTAGCGCCTCCACTCTGGATAGGAGATGGGATAAAATCTCTGGGGGTGTAGGAAGGACAAGTTCAGACACCTGAGGTCATTCAGCTCCTGGAAGTCTCCGAGTTTGCACCACACCCTCAACATCCTCGTCATCAAATTGGGGCCTTGGTTGCCCCAAATGTGTGAATTGTAGTGTTCAATAAAGTTTTCCATGCACTCCCACAAAAAGGGGTGGTGGGGGAGGAACCCGAACACCCCATTACTAGAGAACTGAGAGGCTTGAGCAGCCAAAAAGTTCTCTTCGGGGATGGGCCTGATGGAGATGACATCGGTGTCCATGTAGATGCCACCATGTTTCCAGATGATGGCCAGGCGGGAGGCGTCCGAGCTGACGTGCAGCCAGTTTCCCTCTGCGCTGGCGTTGATCTGCAGGGGCAGGTGCAAATCAGCTCCCAGCAGCCAGGAAGAGGGAGGGGCGCCACAGCGAGGCCAGGCCCAGAGCAGCCGGCAGGGGTGAGGCAAGCCAGCTAGCTTCCCAAAACCGTATTTGCCACAAGCCCAGAGTTGCAAATTTACCAAACTTACCTCCACCTCAAAATTTTTCCTTTAAGTAGAAAATGTACAGCAAATCAGTATTGACAGGAAGATTTTAGCGATTTTTAAAGGTTTCATGAAATCTTTTCTTTTTAATTAAAGCAATGGAAAGATAAAGAAGAAATCCAGAACAGATTTCACAATATGAGTATGAGTCATTCTTTGGCATGGGTGTACATTAGCCACAAATATGAAACTGTGAAGGAAAAATCAAATAAAGTCCTAAAAATGCTAAACTCTGATAAAGAAAAAAATAAAGTGGGAAACTAGAAAAAATCAATAGGTCTGCTCTTTGAAAAGTTGGTAAAAGAATTTTAAAATGCATACCTTTGGTAACTTATTAATTCCTTTAATAATATTTGTTGAGGACCTACTTCCTGTGTGCCAAGCTCTGTTAAAGCTGCTAAGGATACAGCGGTGAACAAACAGACACAAATCCCTCCTGGGAGGAGCCAGACAATAAGCAAATAAATGTATACTGTGTTGGGTATTGACGAAGACTATGAAGATAAAAAGCTGGGTGAGGGAGCTGCAAAAGGGGCGGGGTAGAACATTGTATTATATTAGTTCCAGCAGAAACCTGAACGAAGTGGGTGAGTGAACCATACCCAGATCTGGAAGAAGAGGGTTCTAAGGGAACAGCAAGTGCAAGGGCCCTGAGGCAGAAGCATACTCACCATGTGCGGGAACAGGAAGGAACACAAAGGAGGCAGCGTGGCTGAAACAGAGCAGAGAAGAGAGAAGGGTAGGGGTGAAAAGGGAGGACAGATCATGTAGGCTGGAGCCAAGACTGTGAAATTATCCGGGAAGGTTTGGAAGAAAGGAGTGATGTGATCTGAATTAGTCTTCAAAGGGTCACTCTGGCTGCTGTGTGGAAAATAGTCTGGAAGGCTGGGAAGTGGCAAGGGCAGAAGCAAAGAGGAAAGTTAGGAGGCTTGTCAAATAATCCAGCCTGGATTATTTGACCGGGTGAGAGATGAAGGTGGTAACAGTGGGGGTGAGAGAACTGGTCAGACCCTGGGTCCATGCTGAAGATAGAGCTAGTCGGGATTGCTGATGGACTGAATAGGGGGTGGGGAGGAGCCGCAGATGATTGCAAAGACTAAAATATGAGCAAAACAGAAAATGACTTTAAAAAGAATAAAAATAAATCAGTATCACTGTCAGTGTTCCCATATGGAATGCTAAGATTTTGAATACAGAAAGCAAAATACATTTTTTTGAGTTTAAATATGTTGGTTAAAAGATTAAACAATGATTGGCTCTTGACAAAACATTCTTTAAAATTCTGTAGTAAAATCAAATGAAAGCCGGTTAATTAAAACTTTGCAGAAATCTACACGTTGTCAAAAATCATCACATTGTATACAATTGCCCCAAATCTCATAAATAATAATAGCTAACATTAATCAATAATTGTTCCAAACTCTTTATAATCTACACAAATTCTCAAAAATAGGTACTGTGATCATTCTTATTTTTCAAGTTAAAAATTAGGACCAAGAAGTTTAGTCATTTTTCCAGTGTAAGAGTCAGAGATTGGACTTGAACCCAGGCAGTCTGACTCCATATATCCACTCATTCAAAAGAAACAAGGTTTTGGTTAAACTAAGTAAATGTGATTATTCGATAAATTGGCAATTGTTAGTGGACAGACCCAGAGATATAAGATGTCAAAAGCCACATAGCGCCAGGCACGGTGGCTCACGCCTGTCATCCTAGTACTCTGGGAGGCCAAGGCAGGAGGATTGCTTGAGCTCAGGAGTTCAAGAACAGCCTGAGCAAGAGCAAGACCCTGTCTCTGCTAAAATTAGAAAAATTAGCGGAATGTCGTGGTGGGCGCCTGTAGTCCCAGCTACTCAAGAGACTGAGGCAGAAAGACCACTTGAGCCCAGGAGTTTGAGATTGCAATGAGCTACGGTGATGCCACTGCACTCTACCTGGGGTGACCGAGTGAGACTCTGTCTCAAAAAAAGCCACACAAAACTGGAGAAGGAGGAAGCCTGCCTTGATGCCTTGATGCCTTGATGAGGGTATTAGACTAACAACAATCTAAAACACAACAGCTTCAGAAAGAGGTTTGGGGTTCTGACTGCTCAGAGGACAGTTGTCCGTTCCCACCCTCTGCCCATAGTACTCAATCCTGGGCATCTTCAAGCATTACAATTGTCCAATCAGTGCAGCAAACCCAATAGTCACCAGCAAGTAATGGTACCCAGCTATCCTGTAGGGGCCTAATTGGGGCAGAACATGCCACCGCATGGTATTGTTGGTGTGATTGCTGTAGATGCACAGCCTAATGTAGTACCCTGCAGGCTCAGATGGAGCATCCTAGGACCCATCTTGCTCCTAAAATCCAACATAGTAACATTAAGGTGCAGCTCAGAGCAACCCAACTGTGCTTTATGATACATTAGTTTCAAGAGATTATTTATGTGTCACACTGAAAACGGGTTCTGTGCTCAAATAAATTTGGGAAGTGGTAGGTTGAATCAAGTTAAATTTCTTTAGTTCAGAACTATAAAGAGGCTTTCATATCCTCATGTGCACGATTCATCTGTGAGAAAAGGATACAGTATGTAGCCTCTCCCCAGATAATTTGATTAGAGATTTCTTTTTTCAAGGAACAAAATACAATTTAGGTAGTGTTAGTCTAGCCCAGGTATCAGGAAACCTGTACAGTTCTGGAGGGCCCTCTAGCAGGCTACCATTGAGAGCTGCAGGAACCAAGCGGGCGTGTCCCCTCTGGTCCCAGCAACTGCCTCCTTAGACCACCACCGGCCCCATCACTGCCAGGGCAGTGCCACCTACTGGTAGGGAACCCTGCTATTGGCAACTGCCAGGACCTAGCAGGTGGAAGCTCAATCCATTGAGTTGCTCCACCTCTTTCTAACAAGTCTCAATCTAGGACTTCTGGGCTCTTTGGAAGAAGAGACAGGCACTTTGGGATCTAGAAATCACTGGGTCCAAGAATAAAACTGAGCGTGAGGGCTGCCCCCAACCGTATCCCTTACCTGCCTGGCCCACCAGACCCCTCCCTCTCAGGCCTTGTCACTTAGTCAGAAAATGTCTCCAGCTGCTAGCAACTAGGTGCAAGCATGCCCACCTCCCAGTACAGTCCACTCAGGCCCCAGGCAAAAGAGGCAGGCAGGACAGGAGTTTTCTCTCTTTTTATGTAAATACTGTAGTAGGCTAAATAATGGCCCCTGCAAAATATCAGGTCCTAAATCCTGGAACCTGTAAGTGTCACCTCATATGGGAAAAGTATCTTTGCAGATGTCATTAAGTTGAGGACCTCCAGACGGGGAGATTATCCTGGATAATCCTGATGGGCCCTGAATGCAATCACAAGTGTTCCTGTAAGGAGAGTGGCAGAGGAAGATTTTACACAGAGAGATGAAAAGGAGATTTGAAGATGGAAGCAGAGATCGGCGTGATGGGCTGCAGGCCAAGGAATGCCAGCAGCTGCCAGAAGCTGGTCAGAAGCAAGGGTGATCCTCCCCTGGGACCTCGGGAGGGAATACAACCCTGCCGGCACTTTGCTATTGGCCTGGTGAAAATAATTTAGGACTTCTGGCCTCCAGAACTGTAAGAGAATAAATTTCTGTTGTTTTAAGTCACTAAGTTTGTGGTAATTTGTTACAGCAGCCATAAGAAACTAACACAGGTACCTACATAATGTCCTCAATTTTGCCACTTGACCTGCAAAGCCTAAAATATTTACTAACTGGCTCTTTACAGAAAAAATGTTTGCTGATACTTAATATAGCCTATGATTAGAATTTAGATAGGACTTTATGTGGGAAGCAAATAGTATTACTTTTTATTTATTTGTTTGAGATGGGCGTCTTGCTATGTTGCCCAGGCTGGCCTTGAACTCCTGGGCTCAAGGGATCCTCCCACCTCAGCCTCTGGAGTAGCCAGGACTACAGGCACACACCACTGTGCCTGGCACAAATGGTATTATTTTGATGTCAATTGTTAAATTACTTTTTTGCTTTTAAAAATAATTCTATTTACAAAATGAAAGCATTCTCATCACTGAATTCACTCCTAATCCAATCATACTAAAACACCTACTATTATTGTATGTTACATAGTTTCTTCGGGTCTTTTTTTTTTCCAGTAGATGTGTGTGGGTTTTTGCGTAAGCGAAATCATTATAATTATTACATTGTGACATAAGGGGGGTTTTATTTCTATTTTGTGTTATAGTCTTTGTAAGATGTCAGTTTTAAAAAAATACCATAGATAAAGCCTACATAATGGAATCATTGAGTGATTGTACTATAATCACTCAATCAAGCATTTCTTGACTTCCAGTCCTCTGTAAGAGAAATATTAGATTGAAATATAATTTCCTTATTATGCTATGCTACTAAAATGAGGATTACAAAATTCCCAAGTGTTCCAGGAGTTTCTCAATCATATCTTAATACATCCCAATCTCACATAGCAGCACTCCACTGACCCTTTATGAATTTTCTACTTAAATCATTTTCATGTTAAATATAGCCTGGTTTTTACCTCAGGTGCAAAAAAAGTTTAACATAAATGGGTTTAAAACTGTAGTGAAAAATAAGTGTTCTATACACCTAGAAAAGATATAAACACTCATTTGGTTAAGGGTAGTCTGGGAAAGTAAACTAGATCCTAAAAGAACTAAATCTAAAAGCAAAACACTAGGCTAAAGATAAGCTTAGCTTAAGTCTCTCCTGTTTACTTGCATCGGAACTCTGTGGTAGAAAGTGGGCCAGGCAACCCAAAGATGGGTTCTATTTCTATCTCCAACCCTGAGTCTCTACCCTCAGATTACTCATCTATACCATTCGTTGACATTGTAAGTTTCCCGGGACACTTACTTGAGTGTACCATGAAAATAATGGTGTGTCTTCAAACAGCCTTTTCATATCCAAGGGGAAAAGGAAAACGTTGTCTATTGCTGAGAGGAGGGAAAAAGCTGGGTGTGTGGAGTTTGAGGGCAGCTGTGTGGAGTAGTTGAGACCCTTCATAAAGAACACCACAGGCCGCTTAGGATAAATCCTGGCAGCAGACTCCACAGCACAGGAGACCATTGGGGGTGGCTCCATTCTCTCCGAGGTCTCTAGAAACACAATGCTGCGTCCATGGCTCAGGAGGGCGTCCAGCCCCTGCTGGGACTTGAAGGGAGGCAGGCAGGAGAAGAGGCAGCCGGACTTCAGGGTGAGCTGGTAGAGGAAGCCACAGGCGAGCAGCAGGATGACAGACAGGGAGAGCTGGAGCTCCTTCAGCATGTCCACTCTCTCTCCCAGCTGCTCCTTTAAATTAACACAATTAATTAAACATCCCATTCATAAAACCTGGTAAAGATAGCACATGAGAAAATGATACATGAAATCACTTACAAACTTAAATGAAAAAAATCCCAAATGAAATATGACTAAATCAAGTTCATCAATATTAAAAAGAAAAATGTATCATAGCCAAGTAGGGTTTACCTTAGATTTAAGAATGATTCAACATAAAAAAATAGTTAATAGGAAAACTATTAATGAAATGCATTATCTTAACAGACTAAAGAAGAAAAGCTATATGATCATTTTGGCTCAATAGATGCCAAGATGTGATAAAATTTGACATCCTTTCATGGTTGTTAAAAAGTACAAAGAAATTTTCTCATGCTGATAAACAGTGTCTACCAAAAGATATAGCAGTTATCACACTTAATATGAAACATTTGAAATATCCAGTTAAGGTCAAGAATATGATATAGATGCCCATTATCACTGTTACTATTCAGTATTGATCCAATAATCATCAGCAATACAATGAAACAAGAAAAGGAATCTCAACTATGAATGTTAGAAGAGGCAAAAGTATTGCTTGTTTCAAGAAAATCTGACTGCCTTCCTAGAAAATCCAAGATAATTTACTGATAAACTAGTAGATCTAAGAAGAAAATTAACTAAGGAAGCAAACTGAAGCTTAAAGAGTTAAATAAATTGCCAAGATCACGCAGTTAGCAAGTAGCAGAGCCATGACTCTAACTTGGGTCTACCTGCCACCAAAGCCCAGGCTCTGAACCATTACCTACATCGCCTTCCTTTCCATAAATGTTAGCTCTGACTCTAGCTAATTCAGGAGAGCAGAGATCTCAATTCTTGGGAGGTCTATTTTTTACATTCCATGTAACTCTTTTAGAAAAGACAAAACTAGTAAATCAGAGCTTACCTTCTAGACAGAAACTTGCAGCTAGCCACTATTGGAAGTCTTAGAAATGACAAGTTCTTCCTGCTATACTTTCTGATAAATCACTACCCAATCTTCGAATTCAACAATACAGGGGTAAGTAAATCATTGGCAGAAGATTAAGAGTAAACACAGAAAGTTCCTGGGAAGCTCCTCCCCTTACTAAGTTCACCCACACATAGACACCTGGGGACAATAAGTGGTTCACGAGATTTTTCAGGTGACCCACACACTGATCCTGCCTGTTTATGGATCTACTGCAGAGGCTCTGAGGGGATCATTTCACCTGGAAAAACTGTATCATAGCATAACCCTGGAGAGAACAGATCCTGTGTTTCTTCAGTTTAGCTTGAATCAAAATCAAGAACAGAAACTTGGGAAAATTTCACCAAACAATCCCGTAAGTTGGTACACACTCTTCCTTTGCAAACACAAGTTCTGAATAAAAGAAAAGAAAGCCCATTACCACAAATAAGCAATGGACAAAACCTAGTAGTCCAAAGGCCCAGTAATCCAGAACGGGAATTGATTCTCCAGTATCAGGTATAGTGGCTGCAGGAAGGACCCTTTTGCCCCAAGGTCCCCGTCCCAGTCTCACAAAGTCAGTTTTGTCACCCTTGATGTGTCAATCCCCACATCTCCCAAGGTACTTTCACTCTCCTGTGGTCTATTCTCCTGTCCTTGAAACGAGCATTTAGTAATCCTCTTTGGAGCCATCCTCTGCTCAGAAGTCACCTGTCTTTAGCCCAGAGCCTGCTCTTGGCCATGAAGAGGTTTCCACAGTTCCCCCTGGATGCTCTGGTGTGAGCAGGCATGTCCCCTCCTGAGCGGACTTTGGATTCTGACATAGCAGGTCCTATATCAAAGGAGTTAGCGCTGTCCCACTCATCAATGGCTTCTGGTTTCTACATGCCAGAGAATCCCCCAAAATAACTTTTGGGGCTCCACACACTTCTTCTTCCTTTTGGAGCTGAATTTCTTCTCTCAATCTCATCAGTTTTGGGCTCAGGGTGCATTGGCATCTTTCTAAAGTTCTCTGGCATTGGATAGATTGGTTGTTCTTTCCTACAAAAGGGAGTGGAAATTAGTGCTCCTGCCTCCGTTCGGGAGTAACTAGAGGGCTCCATTTGTGGGAGTGATGCATTCCCAGGACCTGAGTCTCATGTGGGTCTCATATCTTAGCGCCTCCCACCTGCTAGCCCAATGGCCAAAATCACTGAACAAATGATCAAGGCAGAGGGCAGTGAAGTAGTTAATGGTCTTTGTCAGGCAAGGATGGATGTGAGCATCAGCGACACAGTGAAATCCTAAGCACAAAAAGTAGGACCTCTCTGACCAAGAACCAAGTAGAGTGTATGACAGAAACAGCACTGGGCTGGGAGTGTAACTCCAGCCACCACAGGCTGAGGGCACCAGACAAGTCCCTAAACTGCCCAGAGCCTCAACTCCTTTGTAGAGCGCAGAAAATGACTGACCTCGGGTTCCCTGTGAGGATGAAAGGACTGTATAAACCAGAGAAGCGACTCTCACCTACCACCAAGGAAAAGCAGAGAAAAATATAATCAATTTTGATGGTATTTAGACTCCCTGATGTCAAATATTAAGTTGTTTTGTTTTGTTCTTTCAGATGAATGGAATCTATTTCCCAGTGAGCCTTTAAGAAGGAAATATTCAACCCTATATGAGAGTTGGTAAGATATGGGCAGAAGCCAGGTCACTGGTACCTGGGGACTCTTTAGCATCACAGCCTGATGTCCTTCCCAAGTCTTTCTGAGAAGGCCTCCTGTCCTCTGGGCCACTCTACCTGGAACTTCCCAGGGCTCCAAGATTCATCCTTCAGCATTCCCTCCAATATGAGGAACAGAACTACTTCCCCTTCATTCTGCTCCCATTCCTTCGGGCTCCCCTGGCCTGTATCATACTAACTTTCTGTCTATTCAGACAGGTGTCATCAGCTCTTAACCCAGAATCCAGAGAGCCCAAGTGGCTCCAAGGATGGGCTTCAAGAAACCCTGAACCCTGGGGCCATACCCTGTGTCAGTACCTTACCCCTGGAGGCCACTTATCCACAGCTTCTCCTACATACTACCTTCCCTAAGGAGTGTTCCTGGTCTTTGACCCCCCGTGACAACTCTGTTCAAAAGTCCTCCAAATTTCTTCATTACACAATCTCCGGCCTTCTGCAACCAGCCAAACACCCCCTAGGAACCCCAGTGTAGATACCTGAGCAAAGATGTACAAAGAGCTGCTTGTCTTTGAGCAACACATGGGTCTGAATACACTGGTACAGTAACATATGCATCCAGGTATTGTCTACTTTCCTAGGAATTTCTGCCTCGTGTAAGAGAGTTCTTGCTTCCTCCATTATAATGTAAGCTGACTTCGTCAATCCAATGGACTACGGAGCCAGTGTAGTTGTTGCTGACTGATGAGACCTTAGGAAATGTGGATTGGTGTAGCCCCCAATAAATGAACAAGATAGGGCAAAACCTCTGAATCTAGTGTTATTTCTATTTTACAATGCTGTTCCTTGGATGTTTGGAGTTAGTGTAAAGAAAAGGCAGACCAGGGAGGAAAACCACAGAACTGGAGGAGAGATTTCCCCAACTCTTCAGCCCTTTGGATAAACTTTGATAACCTCAGTTGGAAATAGTTCAATGTTTGGGGAGCTAAACTCTCTCTTCTACAAAGGACCCACTGTATTAAGAAGAGGAAAGTTGAAGGAATTTTTAACAATAAATATTTGTTGAATTGAATTGCACATGAAAAGCGTAACTCTTAATTCTGTATCTTCTTTGAACTCAGGTTTATTGTAAGAAGGAAATGTTCAAGCCAGCAATACTTGTCCTATTTATTTTGGAACATTTGGAACCACAGTTCCGGTTTTTAACATATTTGTTAAACAAATGGGACGGATAAGCTTGTTAAAGCATTTGGCCATTAACAGGGAAAAATCAATACACACAGTGATATTGTATCAAATTGCCGATTCCTTTCACCACCGTTCTGAAGCTGGAACAAAGACTGGAGTGCTGGGTTTACATGAATGGAGAGCTGGCTGGACAGAGGCCTGTCACTGCAGAGTGAGAACGATTCATAGCGTAACACTAGGAAGCCCATGGAGGAATAATAAAATAATCGATGCATGTTAAGGAGTGACATCATCAACATTATATCCTGGAAAAACAAAACTTTTTACTATAAATCAGTGAGTTAGTGCCAGAGTAAAATCTCTTTGTTCCATAGCAATATTTTGAACTGTTCTGCATTTCCAAGAAAATGGTTCTAGCCTTATGTTTCTGGTGATAATGCTTTTTGCTCCCCACTCAGATATACCACTCAAACATACCCCTGATTACATAGCTATCAAGAATAGGTTTCTGGGTTTGTTCTGGAAATTGTTACACTCACACATAATTTTCCCACTTTTTAAAAATTTACTTGCAGATAAAAAAGGAGGTGGAGGATAAGTGCAGGGAGATTAAGAGAAAATAATTGTTCTCAGGGAACTAATTGTGCCCCAAACACCTCTAAGTCTGAAGCATAGGGTCTGCAAGAAGCCTGAAGAAAACAGAGGCACTTTCTGAGAATGGAGGGCTGTTCAAAGGGACTCTGCTGTCAAGTGCTATGAGCCAGGCTGTAGTTCCTTCTTCCTGTAAGGAATTGGTAACATCTTAGGGGCACCTGTGCTAAGTGCACACATGGCACAGGATTTTTATAAAAACTGAGTGTCTGTGAGAATCCCAATATGGCTGAAAGAAACTCTTACGAACTGAACGTTTGCATCTCCCCAAAATCCATATGTTGAAGCCTAACCCCAATGTGATGATGTTTCGAGGTGGGGCCTTTGGGAGGTAATTAGGTTTAGATTAGGGTCTCTTAGAAGAAGAGGAAATATGTAGGGTCTCTACATATTTGCACCAAGGAATAGCCACCTTCAGTGAGAAGGTGGAGGAGCCGGGAGGAGAGCTCTTACCAGAACCTGCTGGCACCTTGATCTTGGACTTCTAGCTTTCAAAACTGTGAGAAATAAATGTCTATTGTTTAAACCACCCAATCTGTGGTATTTCGTTCTAACAGCCAGAGCTGACTAATACAGAAACCCATAGTAAGCTTGTCTCTAATCCCCCTACACATATTTTCATGAGAATCTGTTTTTTGGCCATGGGTAAGATGGGAGTTGCTCTTAAGATTTTGGGAACCAGAACCAGGCCTCGGTGGGAAAGAGGTACCTTCATGTGCAACAGAAACCTCTATCAGGTGGGACCGTCTCCTTAAATAAGGCCTTTTTCCTTTTGTCCTTCCATACACACCCCCACTCTGTCCTCTTGTTATGTCTTTTCTCTTTAAATGGAGATTCTTGGTCTCCTTTATGTCAGTGCCTGACAATCACCATGCACCCAGTTGCCCAAGGTAGAAATCAGGGAGTCATTCTTAATTCTTCTCTCTCTTTACCCCTCATGTACAGCTATATATGTTCAGGTCCTCCAAGAAGCAGACACTAAGATGAGATTAACTGTGCAAGGATTTTATTAGGGGAAATGCCTATGTGAGAAAAAATAGGAAAGGAGCGATGTAAGGCTGGGTCAGCTTGTTAGATCACGATGCATATCTAAGAGAAGCTCCAGGGGTAGCATCTTAGGCTACCTTGTCTAAGGCTATCCTTGTCAAAGGAAGTTTCAGCAAAGTCATCTGGAAGTCCTCAAGCCAAAGTCAGTCATTAGAGTCCTGTGTCTCCCAGGAATGGGTCTTCCTCAATATCCTTGCTACATGCAATCATTAGCTGGGAGCAACCTGTGGGAGGTGTGGCCTTGGCATAAACTCAGTGACATATGTCAAAGTGCACATCTAGGGCCCCTGGGCCTAGTTGGAGGTCCATGAGGCACATTCTCATGGCTGCCGCAGTACACTCCTTGAGCTGCACAGATCTACTTCTCCACATAGGTTCAAGGAGCAGCACTTCTATGGTTTCCATGAGCCTTTCTTCCT